TTGATCCCTTCTTCTTCATCGTGTCAGGCGTCACGATGAAAATCTTAAACCGAATTCGACAAGTCGAAATGTTATTTATTTATTCTCAATGGAATTTAAATATTACTTGTCTAGTATGAATCTTTGTTTCTTAAAGTATAAACGTAGACATAAAATAAATATCAAATGCTTTCCTGTTTCTACTGAATTATCAACGATAAGGTAGTTTTATCAAACACCCTCGTGAAAGAAATGATAGGACAAGAGGTTAACGCGTTCGCTACCACGGTATGAGAAGAAAACCACGGCCCAGGATGTTTCTTGTTATCATATGACTTCAATACGAGCTCATTGTCAGATAAAGAATCGAGGCGGCGCATATACACATACATGAAACAGTATTATAAGATTCACTCATACTTTGATTTCGAAGTTCTAGAGCTTTACAGGTAGAGATACACATCTCTACGTGATGGCGAAAGCTGTAGTGGTCGCAAACAGTAAATAATCAGAACCCCGCAACAGGATAGTGAATCAAAATATAGATACAATTGTTTTCTTTTGTTTCGTAACGGGTATTATGTGAGAGTAGCGGTTTAAAAAACTGCGCTAAGTGAATCAATGGAACATATAAAATTCAAAAAAGAACCATGTTATACCGAAACAGTGTTAAGCGGGAACACAAAAACAGTGAAAAGTGTTTATGCAGATGTATGTATATTTTATTTAACCATGTTTCAAAGTTATAATAATTTCGTGTTTCAATTATCCGCAATTGTCTACCCCCATAGAGTGTCTAAATTGGCTACCCTAGGCTTCATAATTTATAATGCTGTATCTACAGAATATCTTCCATATACAATATCTTTTAGAATTTTTGAAGAATAGCGAAATTCTCTGATACGACGATTCCTAGCTTGCTTACAGATCGAGGGTAGCTACTTTGGCCACCTCTTATGTAAGTAAGCAGTAGGTGAAACACAAAAATGGCTATAATTTTGAAACAAACTGAAATAGGACACATGTTTCTGTGAACTTTTTTAATTGTTTTCGTGCCCTCTATTGATTCCTGAATTACACCCTATATTATAACGCCGATCGCGGTTCATCGATGTCATATCATTAATTTTTAGTTCCGACGACAATTTTGTCACGATCTATAGGGTGTGGCGCGCGTTGTTCATGGTAAACGGGTTCCGCTCGATTCGCGTTTTTCCGTCGTCTCGACCGGGTCGAGCACTTCCCGTTCCCGATTCAACGTATATCGCGTTCCACGGATCAACCCCTTGTCGTTACGATTTCCTTCGCGATAATGATTGTCGAATGATTTACCTTATTATTAATACATCAATGGTCCAGGGACGTTTTCTGACATCCTCAGAAAGCCATTCAAATCGAATAAAATACATAGGTGCTATTATATATTCTACGAGACTGAAGAAATATTATATAATTAATGTATGTACAAGATTTTCAAATGAATACATTTTAAGCCAAGGATTATCCATGTTCATTCGCGTACAAATGTGTTAATATTGACAACAATTATTTAGAGACGGGCATTAAAGTGGTAATAAGTTGAATATCAGACGATTTTTATTTTTTACGCCGATGCTTTCACTGAACAAAATATACATAATATAAAAAATATAATATCAAATTATTGAATTGAGTCGCATTATCGTGTTTCGTAAATTTATTTTATTGTAGGCCACCGTTCTATGTTGGAAGGTTTGTAAATAATTATCGTTTCATAGAATTTAGTTGCATTCAACGTGTTAAAAGTTGCAACCAACTAAAGAGAAATTCTTTGCTGCAAGAAAAACGCGAGTCGCGTCTGAAACGGTGATGATTCTACGTGCGAAACAAAACAAATGTGTCGAATCGAATTTGGCTTCGTTTCTAGAAAACTAATTGTTCGATTTCCTACAATGTGGTTCGTTGAAGTCACTGTTGTACAGTACTGGCTGAAAGTTACGAATCGCTTGTTTGATCGAGCAAAGATATGATGATTTCTCATTGATGAATAAATGAAACATTAGATTCTGACAAAAAAACATTTAATCGTTATTAATTTTCTACCAATTCAATACGTTGTACGATGAATTGTCTTTTAATTCGAAATTTAGTATTATTAATTTCATTTTATAAATGTAATTAAATTAGATATAAATAGATACATAGGTTTGTTGACTTAACGAATGTATCTTGTTTGTATCAATGGTTTAGAAAGTACATAGTTAAAGGAAATTCATGGGAACAGGACAATATCATGCACTATTACAGACATTAATATCCGTAAGTAGAAATAGTGAGCAATGTACAGACACACTAAATCACATTCCATGAGAATCTTTCTTGATTAATAATGTGGATATCGTAACATTAGCCAATTTAATTTAGTTCTAATTAAGATAGACATGAAATGTGCACTTTATCGAACTTAATCTGTTAACCGTAGGCAAATTAACACATTATATATATATATACATATGCGAAGGTGTGCGAGTGAGATGAAAGATGCGAGTATAAATGGAGAGCGTGATTGAATTTAGGCGCAGTTTGTCACTATTATACATATATATATATTACTAAAAAAAAGTTGAATAATGATTGCAATTTTTTTCAAGGCATGTAAATTGGTTTGAGAGTTCACGATATTTAAGCAGAGAAGACATTTGAAGAAAACTTATTATTCTTCTAGTACTGCATTTTCAGCTGCTAACACTTTAAAGGTCTCTACGAAATTATTTACGATTAATGGTCTGTGAAAATCATAAACAAAAGCAATCAAAAACACCATCAGGCTTCTTTGTCGCTCGACGAAATACCAAGGACACAACAGGCAGAAAAGCAATTTACCACGCTTAAATAATTGCGGAAGTGAATTACTATATCATAATCTTGCAAAATCAGGAAAATCAGATTCAATCGTTTTTAAACTATGTAGTATCTTTATTTTTTCTGTTTCTGTTACTTCGCCTGTGAAAAACAGATATCAGGCACACATTCTGATAAGGATAATGTGAATCTAAAATAAATGTAATTAAACGAATATTTCTATTAAATAAATAAAATATATTTACTACTTTTAACTGTTATTAAAACTTGTTTTATATTTTGAGTGATATTCGACAATATGGAAAAGGTATTTAAGCCAGGTATTATTCGAATAATATTGAGTATCTCTTTAACCAGTTGAGATTAAAGAAATAATTGCTGATTGCCGATTGATTCAACGAACGTTCATCACCGCGAAGAAAGAACATGATTCACACTGAAGAACAACCAGATGTTTCTTTCTTGAAAATATCGGTAACAAAGCCGATAAAACACGACGTCGCATGTTAAAAAACAACGGTATGCACCGCGCATTGCTGCTTATTGTCGACCGCTTATCACCGAGTGTGTACCTTCCTTTATTATGCGGGTGGTATTTATCATTGACTCTGGCCAGTAGTGGGTCTCGTATACTGTTACTCATGAATACTGGCAACAGCAACAATGTTTTTTCCAATTCCTTCCTGCTATTCCTCCGATTCGTAATTTCCTTCATTTTCTTCTTAACACTTTAACTGGCGCGTTACCTAAATTCGAATGATACCGCTTTTTATGTAAACTAATTTTCTTAGTAACGCATCGAATTTCGTTGGATGAAGATACAAGGATGACAATAGAGAAAGAAAGCGCAATCGTTATGAAGAATCATATCGTTTTAGTTTCTATTTCACGAAGAACAATATTTAATTAACTAGTTAAATTGTATCATTAAAAAATACCTAGATAGCAATAAAAATGTTCTCTACAATACAAGTCGCTGTGGGAAAAGACCAATTTCAACTGTTCTTCGTATTCTAACGATTCGATCGTAGAATATTTTCGATCTTGCGTACACAGAGCGCGGCTCATCTACGCACGGGACACGCGATCGGACCACGGTGTCAATTAACAGGTGTGTCTTGACATTTTATGACAACGATTCTGACTCGGCAAACTCGAGGAACAATCATACGTGGAAATACAACGCAGCCTGCATTCCAGCGAGGCAGAAAGCGGGGGAGGACAGACGCAGACAGGAGGCGAAGATCGATAGAGGTTCGTCGACTCGACGACTGGCCGTAGTCTATATACCAGCCGGACGACAGTGGCGGTCAGCTGCTTGAGATTGTTTCGTAATTTTGGAGATAATGTGTATTGGCCATTCGACACCATAATGTTAACATAAAACATTAAAAATGATTTTTCGGAAGAGAACGGTAACATAACCAATCCTTTTCTGGCCAATCGTTATTTCCATTCCCTTTAACAATTTTTTAGTAGGAGATACATATTAATGACCTCTACTTTAATTTAATTAATTTAGTTCATCGGTTAACTTAAACGTTTGCTACTAGCGCTTATTTCGGTGACGGTCTCCTCAATTATAACATTTTCTTCAATTCAATAAACCTTTTAAACAAAATATTAGAGAAATGAAACAGAAACGAGTCATTGGGTTCCTAAATATAATGTCGTAGTTTATAATTTCTAATAACAATATCCACAGGATTAATTTCATTTTCATTATGTAAAATATAGGATTACGACCGTCACAAATATGTGACGCTGGCAGCAAACGTGTTAATTTGATTTTAGATGCTTCTCCGCGGTAATTTATCAGAGCGAAGGAAAAAGTGTATCAGTACTGTATTGCGCAATGCGGAATACGCGCCATTTTTTATTTTCGTAGACAGAAAGATAATTTTTAAGAGACACCTATCGCGTTTATTTTGAAATGTAAGAAATACGTTTGTATAGCCTGTCACTACTGTGGTTACCGTTTTCTGAACCCAACTTTCGTCACATGAAGATTTTATTCAGTATTGAATTGGCGGGAAAATACGACGTTCGAATTTTTTAGCCGAACGCGTACGACCTTCCTCGCATAAGTAAACGAAGGAGACGTCCCGCGTTCGTTCCTCCGTTTACACTCTGGTATATATGTGTAGGCACACACGTGTTTTTTTCTTTCTCGTACTCACCAAAGCTTTCTATCAAGATGATTCCGGGAACCGAGTTCTCCTCATATTTGACTTAATCCAACTAATGGCGTTGCTTGCGTCGGCTATCACAATGTTTCCGCGTGCACGTGAAAAATACTTCGAACTGTCATCGCCGCAGCCGCCTCGGGCGAACCGCGGTCCAAAACACCGCACAAAAGCAATCACTGTGGACGAATTCCGTTGAAAAGCAGAGTCACCGCGAGTTTCGTTGGTGGTGCCGAGCAGACTGTCACAGGTACGTACGGATTGTCAAAAACGCGCTTTTACGAACACTGAAAACTTCCAAATTCTATTCGTATCGAAAGGAACTGCAATCACGATTCTCAATCCGGGCAAACCTTCTTTCTTCCCCGTACGCGTCCGAAAGCTTCATCGCCATCACCCACCGCGAATTACTTTCGACACGAAACAATATCGATACATGCCATGCGTCGATGTATCAATATGTCGATATTTTAATCGATCTTACCGAAATTCACCGGAATTTCAACTTTCAATTGGAACCGTGATCACTGTATCTTATTTCGAGATGGCGCAGTAGCCTGGAACAATCGAATTCTGGAACATCCCGAAATTAACTAGTTGCGTTGAGCGGCGAGTATCTCTCGTCGGTAGTCTCCACGGAGATAGTTGTTTCCTCGAATGATCGTTTCATCGCGATTTCCTGTTCTTTTCGCTTTCTTTTCGTTTTCTTTTCGTTTTATGTTCGTTGCACAGTGCGTCGCTGATGGCCGTCGGAACTCTCAGTCACGTATCTAAAAACCACCTGACAACACTATCGCGAGCTTCGCGCACAGCAGACTCCGGCCTCAATGATCACTGTATACAGATAAGTGTACATGTCAACGTACAATTCGTCGGGAAACCGGCAGCCAGTATTCAACGAACACTCATTGGATGTAAGTTGGAAATGCTTGATCACAGGGAACCACTGAACAATCGATAGCGACGGGAACGTTCCGGTGTTTCGAACCAGACGATTTCCAACGATCAGTCCAAGGAGACATGGTAACACGGTGTCCCAGACTCTACTGTACCGGTAGAGATTCCTCCGTCGAGTGTCATTTCCGCACGAACGAATTCGAAATGCGCGACGGACGTCGTGACGAGGTCTCTGCAGTCTCGTATCAGAACGGGGCCCCGAAACTCGCTAGCGCACGCATCGACGGGAGCGCGACACGTTCTCCGTTTGTCTTGTCATCGACGCACGGATCGGTCGACGTATTCCGAGCCGCCTCGGCTCCCTTGAATCACGTCCGGCTCCAACGTGTCAACTTAAACGGCTCGACGAACGACGCGGACGTCGGTGTATCCATGGTAGCACCGGAAGGCGACCGTTGGCTAGCGGCGAGTCTGTTCTAAAAATTTCGTCAGTCCTTCGAGCTAACTCCAGAGATTTCGTACGTTTCAGGGACGCCGTCGCCGGCTCGCGGCACAGAAGATAGCCGAGTTACGCGGTAAACAATGGGAATCCTGAGTGAGACACGAAACGCGTGCACCACGGAATGTGACACACGAAAACGGCAAGTGGACGGAGCCGCTGCTGGCCGACTGCCGACGGTCGACGGTCGAACACGCTCGGATCCCAACGATCAGCTGATCGCCACGCGCGCTACTATGGTAACCAACGTCAGCGAGCTCCGGTAGGGTTGCACGCGCGCACTCAGGACTTTTGGAGGGCGCTTCGTACACCAACTGCCCGTGCGGTCCCGTTGATAATAGATTACGCTGGTATACGAGCCTCGACGTTATTTCGAATGCGTGCGTGCGTGCGTGCGTGCGTGCGTGTGTGAGTGCATGCGTGTGCGTGCATGCATGTGCGTGCCGCGCACACACGTGGCCTAGGAGGTACGCGGGGACCGCCACACCAGTGTCCGACGATGGCGAACAAACACGACGGATCAACGATGAAAAGCGACGGAGACGCGGAAAGGTCGAAACGTAAACGACTTTTCGGCTTCTCCTCCGTGTTCCCTCGATACCTTTTTCTGTCACGTTCGTTCTTTCCCTTTCTGTATCTCCCCCTAACTGGACCGCGCGACTCGCGACGTCACGATGGGCCTGATAACTACGACCGCATGCCGTCGCAAAGCAACTCAAATACTGCTGTGACTCGTCACAAAATACGACACCGGTGACCGTGTCTGACAGGAAGGAAAATCACGAGGCAAGCGTGACGCGAACGGCTACGTACGCCATCCGCTCGTGTCGGCAGTCGGGCGTGCACTGCCTTCCTGAGTCGTCGGTTGGTTCTCGATCCTCGACTCGGCTCGCTCGACTCGCTCGCCTGCTCGCGCGACCTCCATCCCCGTATCGCGCCACGCTCCGATGCTCGGTGCACGACGCCGCTTGTCGGCGCACGACTCACCCGCTTCTTTTGCCAATCTCTCCCCCCCGCGCGTCGGTGTCATTATTATTTACCATATCCTTGTTTTTTTATTCTCTTCTCATATTGCTTCGTAAACGTCTGCGGTAACAGTTATTCGATTATCGAGCGTAGAACACGTTCTCATTAGCGACCAAGGTAAATAGAATGATAACGATCATCATGCGAAAATAAAATGTTACTATAAAAATGATATACGTTTATTTCGTTGGAAAATATAGAATACAGATATTGCGATCGGTTATTTTCGAACGTTGAGGACATTTTACGATAATCTTTACCCCCATTCTCTTCGTTTATAGTATTTCAGTTTAATATGTACGTGTAATTAAATAAATACGTGTGTATAAGGAACAAGAAATAAATTGTTCGACAGCAACAAAGTGTTTCGATACTTACTCGCCCATTCAATAATTCCGTATAAACTTTACTTAGAGATGACCGTTCACTTTATATTTCATGAAATAACTACATTGTTATTTCATAACTTTCGTAACTACTATACTCTTTTCTTAATATTCCTTTATCACCTTTCTTATTCTCTTTTCATCTATACACGACACTACTTTCCGTTTTTAATATTTAATCGTTTTTAATAGTTCAATTAATTTTTTCAGCTATTACAATTACGATTTTTGTGAAACACTTTCATCCCGGGGTGAAGACTTTGGTAAAGAATAAATAAAGACACTTGCGCGTATTTGTTCATTTATCTACGCAGAAAATAGTTTGAAGTATTTATACAGTGTTGAATAGCAATAAATTTAAATACCGATAACGTATCGCTAAACGCATTGTTAATTAAACAAAATAGTCAATGTTTCGTTTATGGTGTAATTGATGTAACGTAGTATTGAAATGACATCAAGTCGAACAAAGAGAAACAAATCTTGTCGACCAGTGAAGATTAATGATATTACCGTACGACTTCAATGCGTAATGAATCAATCAATTTTATACAATACACACAGCAGATAGACAAACCCTGTGGTCACGCCTGTGAACGATTGTGGACCCAACATGATTGTGAATCGAGAAACGACTCCTACGCGCCAATTCTATTTCCACGATTAGGAAGTTTTCATTTAAAAGCTTCTATGATTACTTGGAGACAAAATTCGAATTTTGATTAACTTTCTTTTACCGATTAAAACCTTTTTCGAACCGCTGTGATTCGAAAATAATTTTAAAATGAATCACTTAGTGCTAAGAAACAACCAATTAACAACCAGATTTTATGTCTATATCTGAATTATCATAAGGATTTTTTTATTGGCGCTGCATAATAGGTGTACGAAGCGATTGTTTGAAAATGTCACAAATTCAACTGTACTGATATACAATTGCTATAGTGTTACGACAAACATTCGATTCTCAATATAAACAGCTTTACGGTTGAAAATTAATTTAAAGGTATTAGATATTTAATCTAACATATTAAATACTTTCTATTAACATTATTTTCTAATTCCTTAACGCTCATAAATAATGTGCACTAATAAATATAACGTATTAACAAAATTTCAAATGCAATCTTCTAATGCACCTTAGAAAACCAAACCAAAAAAACCAAAAAAAAATTTGTTTTTAATCTATTGGTAGTCAAAAAGAATTTAATAAAACAAAATATGAAAATCTTTCATGGATACATTTTATTCGCAAAAATATAGACTTGTGGCGACATCTATTAATTCTAATAAGAAATACATTCACGTACTTGCAGGTATAGAAGATTGTGATGTAATTACTCGCAAACGGATGTTTTAAGTAAGAGGAATACACATTGCGGGGAGAAGTAGTTACATTTCAAATAATTGATCAGCTTGAAGGAAAGAATTAATGTCATTAATTGTAAATTGACATTAATGCGATAAAGGACAATAAGACCAAAGGAAATTTACGAAAGATACAGTAGTCCATAGCAGCAACAACGACACCACTATTATTATCGAGTAATGCGCTATAAATAGTCTAAAATATAATAAATTGTTTGATAATATTAAGTAGAATTTATGATAGTAGTCATAATATTTTTGAACAAGTAATGTTACCTCGTAAGTTTGATCCGAGCCTCCTTAATAGTATCAAATGTGTCTTTCAGTATATAAAAACGGACACCTCTAATATAATGGTAAAAATATATTTCCCAATCTAGATTCTCCATATTAAAGTTAAAGGTTTTCTGATCAACAGAATTTAATTTTTTCCAAAGCTTTACAACGTTTTCATTCTCAAATATCCATTGCCTTCCCAGGAAAAATTGTAGCGCGTCCATAGCTTTATGTATTTTCTTGTAGGTATCTAATAATCTGAAGAATGTAATATTTCATAATGAATATAGTTATATATTATGTATATAATGTGTATAATACAATTATGTATTAAATACGTACACAGGAGGACGACCAATGAGACGTGCAAGTGTATCTACAATAAATGCTGGTACTATATGAAAAAAGAAAATTGAAAGTTCATGTAAAAGCAAATATCTGTTGAAGATAAACATATAATACCAATACATTTTTATAGTAGGAACCTCGTAACCAAAATTTTCATTCAGTTTCATAAACCTATTCCAAGTAATTGGATTTTGACATGTTGATACAATATTATAAATGGGTACCTTTTCTTCAGGGGATAGATCTAATTCTTGCTCTGATTTTGTTAGAGATTTTCTGTAAAACCATTAAAATTTGGTATAAAACATAGTAATTATATTTTTTTCAAACTTTTTACTATTAGATAATATAATTTAATATAAGTTTATAATATTTTATTTCAATACTAATA